CCCCCCCACACACACACACCTTTCAGACTTTGATTTTTATGTTTTTTTTTTCTAAATTAAAACAGGCCCCCAAGAGGCGATTTCAAGCAAAGTCTCTGATATTCAAATTTATTGGAAGCGCAGAGACAAACGTCAATCGAAGTCACATGAATAAATTGCAGTTTCTAGGTGAAAAGTAGCCTACCGTGTTTTTTCTTAATTTTTATTTTTAATTTATTTTATTTATTTTTTTTGGTGGCCACTTTTTTTATGATAGGCCTTAGTCTCCTAATTATTGCATTAAACGCAATGTTTTCTTTTAGTTTTTAGAATATAATCTTTTAAAGACAGAGACTTTTAATTTTCAACGCGCTATGTAAGTGTTTTGGTGCAACGGAATAAAATGCGGCACTTTTGCAGTATTTCCCCAACCATGTAACTCCTTAATTTCCATAATGTTCTCTAAATTATTTGGGTGGTGACTTTGAGCAATGTTTAAGTTATTCAAATACTTTGGCGTACTTTGACATTAAAGTTAAATGTAAAAAAAGTAAAAGAACTAAGTAGTAAATTTCCAAACTAATTTATTTGAATAGCAGATACATAAATCAAAGTCAGCGCATAGCTTTATTTTGATTAACTTTGGGAAATACTGCAAAAGTACCCATATTACGATTTATTTTATATTCAGAGAAGTGGGAAATTGCATCTGCACCTCGCCGGACCTTTTTGCCTTCCCGTCTGACAGACCTTTCCCTAGATGTCGCATCGGCCAAGACAAGAAGATCGAAGTCGTTCAACACTGTGACAAAATGTGGGCCGGAGACGGTTTCTGCTGCCTTAAAACCGACGATTGCGAGTGTCTGAAGAATGTCCAAAGAATATGCGGCATTGCGGCAGAGAGGATATCAGGCCCAGAAACCGCAACAGCCGACCCTGGTCAAACAACGACTGATGGGAACGGAGTTGAGGTTTTGGGGGTCACGAATATTAAACCACCAACCTTACCAAATGGAGTGCCAGACATTTTCAAAAAACGGGCGAAAGATTGCGTGATCACCGTTATCTTTTACGGTAACAGGACGGGCCTCTGCTGTCAAAAACACGCATTTTGTGAATGCAAGAAAACAAAAAAGGGGCGAATGGCCATCTGCAATGGGTACCTGGACTTCCTGTAAACTCCTATTGAAGTCAGAAGTTCTGGAGTGTTAAGCAAAGGTCTCCGAAAGCGAATCACCGAAAACCATTTGACACACACACATCAGTTTTTGATTATTCATTAATTGGACCGTTTGATGGATGCATGGTAAAAAAGACGATACAAGAGCAAAAGGGAGTACTTGAATTAATAGTTAAAAATGTTGCAAGGACACATTATCCACTTCCAAGGTACTTCAATTCTGGATCTTTCAAACAATATAAGCCTACCAACATTTAAGGTGGATGTGATCTCACACTTTGACAAAATGCTACTAGTACACTTAACCGACGTATGTATAGATTAAATATGAGATTTCAAGACAATTTCTGTAGGATTTCTTCCGGGAATGGGATATGTTCTTTTCTTGTTTTAAGGTTAAGTTTGACAATTTATTCAAAGTGATATGTTACATGTACGACTCAAACCGCTACCTCATTATTTCTGATTTATGGTACCAAAGGTGAACGTATTAATCTTGCCTGAGTAAAAAGGCATATAGTTGTTAAGCCAAATGTTGGAGCGAAATCGGGTTGCAACAATATTATTCAGAGGAAATCGCTTTTATTGACTCATTAACAAATTTGAATTCCACTCCGAATATGCTATTGACGGTAACACCAGTTCATTCAAAGATTTATTGAAGGTAGTAAAGGATGTAATGTATGGCAGAAACTGCCTCATTAAAATGGATTTTTCATCATTGCTGCTTTATCATGACATACGTACCTCTTCATTTTTCATTTTTATTACTTCAGTTTAAACAAAACACTGTTAGTGCATTTTTGTAATCTTAAATTTAAACTTTTTATTTATTTATTGCATTCTGACGATTTTTTATATTCATCGTGAACCTTCTGTCATGACTGAATTTCAACATGATGCTTATCGATCCCACAGCACGCGTGGCCTTGATACAATGTATGACAATAACCGCTGTCTGTACCATTAAGTAATTGTGTGCAACTCAATGTATTAGCCTTTATGGTGTGACACAGTGTAGTTTATTATGGCATGGGGAGTACATACTACTTGAGAGCTGAAAGCCCTTGTGTTGATTAAAAGACTGTGTATACACTGAAATTCACAGACAAAACTCCTACGTACCTTGTAGGTAAACCACGCTTTTTTGAATAACAACAATAATACTAATGATAAATCATTTTGAGCGTTGATCTTAAATTTACCAAAATACAGAAGCTGAAAGACTACGATTGATGGTCAGCAAAATAATATAATAGCCTTCACCTCATGGGGCGGCGTTACAGTGAGTTAATATCTCAATGTCTGAATGGAGTATTTAACTTACAGCCCCAAACACTTGACGAGGCATCTCTGATGAACACACTCTGTTACTATGGCAGTACGTAATTTAAAGGCGGTTTTGGATTATATAAAAACATACAACAAGATCCGGCCCATTGTGGAGCTTGGTGCGCGACTCTTAAAGAAACATAATTAGCCAAACTATAATAAAGCACAAGTGGTACTACATTAGTTGGACAAAGACATACATGCTCGTTGCATGCATGTCTCCATCCAAACTTTTCCATCCTGAATCCCAAACTTCACCCCACTCCTATCCTCGTCTAAACAACCCTTGAAGAAGACATTCCTGATCTCACCTCAGGAGGAAACGTGGAAACATTTTCATCATTTTAATATCCCAGGGATAAAGTTAGACAGACAGAAGCCACCCAGAGTGCATGTTGGCCACATAAACCAAGAAGCTCTCAGCAGATGTGATTACTTTGTGGTTTAGCAAAAACAAGTCAGGTTTTATGGTGTTTGCAGTTTCAGTTTTTCACAAGTCAGGAGAAAAGGTATGTCAGACAAAGATATCTTGTTTGAATTTAAGTTTTCTGTAATGAGAAAGAAAGATGTAATTCATATTTGTATTATGTATCCACAAACGAAAATGGTAAGCTGTTTTAAAACGTACTTTTTGTTTCTAATTCTATCTACTTTATTTTTATATTTCTTCTCGACGTTATTAAATAATACACTCAATAATAAATGATCCGATTCGAAACAAGAAATAATGAGCCATTAACGCTCAATACATGTATATGAGAAGCTTATATAAACAAACAAACAAACAAAAAAAAAAACTAGTAAAAAATAAGTAAAAAATAAGTAGCCTACTAATTCAGCTGACCATAATATTGGGTTCCTATTTTGAAGACCCAAAGACCTGATCGAAAAAGATTTTTCATTTGTCAGAATATTCATTGTCCCTAAACAAACATATGGCGAACAAATAAGCGTTTTGGGGAATACTGAAAAGTCAAACAACTGAAAACTCTAACCAGCTAACTAATGTGGAAACAGATGTTTCAGAGGTCTTTAACATGAATATCATTTCATTTATCCGTGTCTTTGCACTGTCTTGTTTTATTTCCATATAATCCATTTCCAGACATTTCAATCACGAAGAATTAACAGCGATTATCACCGACAATGACTGCCGCAGTCGTCACTGTGATTGTTGTTCTCTGTCTCTGGTACGAGGCAGATGCAAAGTTTTTTAATAGGCCCAGATGCCAATGGGAATACCATATGGACAAAACATACACCCCTCCTCGAAAGAAGCCTCTTTGCTGCAGGTAAAACTTTAGTGAGGCACAGTATTGGTCACGAGTTAGGGAGCTTGCATTGTAAACGCAAGTATTTAAAATTCATACAAAAAACTTGGTCTGAGATATTTGACAATGAATTGCAGAGCTTAATAGTTGAGACCAAGATTTTTAAAAATAATTTTTAAATACTTAGAGTCCCCTTTTGGGCTTGATATCTGTGCTTACTTGGTCACATCTAAGATAATGGTTGATACCATTTGTATTGTAATATTAGAGCCTGTGAAAATACAAGTGGTTCTGTTTGAATGTTTTGTAAAATTTTTATTCAGGTGCAAAGGAAAGCAGGCATACGACCTCAATGTAATGGCAAATCTGTGTCCCAATGTAGAAATAAATGGTCGTGTTGGATTTATTACCTTGTGGCAGTAAACATTATAAGTTATTGTTCTATTCAGGGAGGTGGGAAATTGCATTTGCACCTCGCCGGACCTTTTTGCCTTCCCTGCAGACAGATCTTTCCCTAGATGTCGCAGCGGCCAAGACGAGAAGGTAGAAGCCGTGCAACACTGCGAGAAAATGTGGGCTGGAAACGGTTTCTGCTGTCTTAAAACTAAGGACTGCGAGTGCTTGAAAGATGTCAGAATGATATGCGGAGTACCTGCCGAGGCGAGGTTGAAACCGGAAAGCAAACCGGTAGATTCTGGCCAAACGACAACACCAAGTGGTGAAGTTGAGGTTTTGGGAGTCAGGAATATTATCCCACCTTTTTTACCCGACGGAGTACCAAGGATCTTTAAGGAAAGGGCACAGAGCTGTGGTATTAGCATCATCATGTATGGTAACAAGACCGGCTACTGCTGTCAAAAACACGCGTTTTGTGAATGCCAGAAAACAAGAACCGGACGAATGGCCATATGCAATGAATATTTGTACTTTTACTTCAAACTTTAACTCATTGGCAGGGGTTTTGCAAGCGCTTAGAAAGAATTATGTTGATAAAATGCGACATGCCAGAGAAAATCTATGAGAGCAAAACGTTTTCACTTTTTTTTTAAATAAGGACTTCTGGTGTTGTGGGAGTAAAAGAAATATTGGCGATATTGCATAAAAAACTCAAGGAGGTATCTCACAAAATACTTCATGTTTACTGATGGGATGTGATTCAAAGTCCGACTTATTATTAACAATATCAACTGATATCTAGAATCCTATTATTTGGATTAAAAAAAACTTATATTAGTATTTTGGTTCCCAAGTGATTCTGAATTCTGCAAGTTACAATGGACTCCTCTTTCTGATTTACTGTTTTAACATACAAAGGCCGTGCCCGTTGTTTTATATTTACTTTTTTTGAAGAACACTATTTGCATTTTTTCGTCTGCCAGTTCATTTTCAGTAATTGTCGTACTCGGCATCCGAATTTTGCGAGGTAAACACGGTGGATACCATTGGTTTCGGTCACAGCTCTACGGACTTGCGGTTTCTGGCGTTTGAAAGCCCTCCATTTATTCTTTAAAAATGTCTGTACGATTATGGTGGTTATACTAGTCACGTGCTATTTAATGTAATGAAGTGACCACAGTGCAACCAAACAAGCCCTTAACTGGAAATGAAAAAAAAAATCCACAGAGCAGGCAAAAAAAAAAAAAAAGATTTATTAATCGTGTTTATAAAAACATCGTAATTTCTATTTCTCTTTTTATTCACTGGTATGATTTGTGCTGCACCTTTCTGTATAAAAAAACATCTTATTCTTTTCATGATCAGTTAATATTGTAAACCGTCAAACTGCCTCTATTTCCCCATCTTTTCTTAACTACAGTAGTTAGTACGCACTGGTCAGGAAAGTAATGAATGCATTTATGTGTACTACCTAAGGGACCAGACAGGTAGACAAGGCAATGGTTGTAATTAATTACTGGTAAGTGCATCGTTGATGGACCCTGAAACAAGTTACTTTTCATATTGAACCCGTGTATTTTAGTCAGCTGTGTTCCACAATCGTGCATCTTTCTCACTTCCAGGCCTGAGAAACATGCAGTCCACACTGGTTCATTTTGGCATTAAAATCTATGATCGGGTTACTTTCCGCACCGGAAAAACCCCTCTGGTATTAAATTCTATCAAAGGCAGGTAGAATAAATAAAGTTAAAGTGTTGGGCACAGCAGGCACATGCCCTTCCCAAAGATTCTGAGGTACCCTCTTCTCCCTCACTAAAAGACTAGAACGACCTATATGACACCAAACCAAGGAAGTTACCACTCTGTCCTCACACATTAAAGTTAGATTGATTCACAGTTAAAAAGGGTTTTATCAAGCCTTTTTACTTATTTTTGTGTCCCCTCTCCTTTCCCATAGCAAACACATCTGGTTACACACACTGAGTGACACGTGCATATATTGACTAACCAAAGTCCCTCCCCTCACAAAGGCTAGGACGCATTCGTGGACATACTAGCGGAATGATTAATGGCTAATTTGAAGTAGTGAATACGAAAGTAGCCCACGTGAAAGTTATTCTGATATACACCTTTCATTCCCTACTTAAGATGCATCGGGGGAACACTAGTTAAGCCCCTTTTTGCACTTTGAGACACGCAGTTCTAACGTGTGAGTAAAAACAACTTATTTCCGTTATCATATTTAAATTCATACTTCTCTCGAATGTTGTTTTCGTTTGAATGATATTAAATCTTGAATAAAGCACTTTTTATTGTATGAACATGCATAAGCCCATCGTTTTATGAGGAATATGACACCACAATCTTTAATACAGAAAACACACACTATTTATTTCCCTTTTATTTATTAATTAATTTATTTATTTCCAGTTTTTATCTTTTTTTATTACTATGTCAAAATTTGGATTGCAAATAAAGCTTAATCAACGTGACCAGAACGTAATCTCAAAAAAAGGCAATAGCTTTCATGATCTTCCATGTAGATCGGAGCTGCATCCGCTCGTTAACATTCTTCAGCTTGACAACACCTACCATGACAAAATATTCTGATCAGAATTTTAATGTTAAAGCATTGAAAGCATCTTTTGCTGGCAATTCTATTTTACGCCCTTTTAAATCCTAAATTTAATTAGATTAATCTGGTTGTGCGCCACACCAAATAAATTTCATTACAAATTTTTACAGATAATCGGCTATTTGTGTATTTTGGAATGGCAAGTGTTTTGTTAAAGACACAGAATTGCAATTTAGTTTTGACATTTTTAATCAATTCATACGTTTACATTCCAATTATAAGATGCTAAAAGTAAAACAATAACGAGGCACGCGCAATGCACGCAAACAAATGCAATTAACACGTATCGATTTACATAATATATACAGTATAAATGCCACTGAAATCAAAATGATATTCAAATTACAATAAAGAATATTTATAAAAACGCGTTATATGAATATATAAACAAGCATTTGGCATCGAGTCCATAACGTCAGAAAAGTAATGCAATTACAAGTTCTATGGCTAAAAATGCTACGTGCATCACTAGCACTCCAAGCTGCGTCTGCCATTTTCTCGCTTGCACTTGCAAAATCGGTTTTTGATGCAACAGCGAATTATCATAGACCCATATTTGATAACCCGTACATGGCAGTATTCATCCGACTTTTCAACGTTTACCGTCTCCGTTTTTACAGGAGATTCGGTAATTTGACTCTTGAAATCACATTCACGGGTAATACGAGTAGGACACCTACATCCCCCTGCTTTCAGGCAGCATTCACTTTTATCGTCGTGCCATCTTTCACAGTACTGCACTGCTTGAATCTGCTTGTCTTGGCCATAACTACACCTAGGGAGGAATCTGTCTGGCGGGAAAGCCATTGGGTCTGGACACACGCAGATGCAATCGTTTGCTTCCCTATATGCAAAGAAAACAAATGTTCAAAGAGTCTAGTTGACAACAATCTGGCACATCGTACTTCAAAATTGTAAAAAATTACAACTCTAAGAAATCCGTCAAGGTATCATAGTAAACAACTAGTGGGGGTACCTCGCAAAATAACAGCAAAGAATGATTTTACACATTAAGAGGAAATTAACAACCGTCAGCATTTCGACATCACACACGGATGAAATCATTTACATGCCTGGTAGGCAAATACGTTATTTCCCATAGCACGAGCGTATGTACCTGCAGCACAGAGGCATCTTTCGTGGAGGTTTGTAAGAATGGTCCATATGGAACTCCCATTTACAATACTTCTTTGGACGGTTTTGAGCTTCAGAGCCGATCCAACAAGACAAGATAAAGACTGCTACAAACGCAAAGGACGTCATGGCTGCAATCTCTGTTTCTGAAAAAACAAATGTACACCGCAATATTACTTTTTAAAAATATTTTCAAGTTTGCTTTTTTGCAGGTCAGAACCAATTATTGGCCTTATAAATAAAGGTATCTGAAAGAGAAGAAGTCCGTTTGGTAGCGTTTGGTCATTTTAATAATGACCGTTAACCTAGTTACTACAACTAATTCACTGGGTATGTAAGAGCAAAGGAGATTGGTAGCCACATTTTAATGCCTAGTTTTCAATTTTAAATTCAGAAAGTTGTCAGAAAAATAAAGAAAGCATTAATTTCGAGAACGTTTATAATTGGGAAAGCACAATTAAAAAATTGGTTAACGTGTTTGGATACATCTTGAAAAAGAATGAATAAAGAGAAGCCAACTATGTGGAAAATGCACCTAAAGAGCAATAAAACCCCGACTCACAGTACTTGACACCGATAATAAGCCTCTTAGTATAGGAACTAACGTAGAGGCGCTCCATCGCATGCAAGTTTAATTCTCATCTCTTCTTCTATTAACTTGCTTTTAAATGTTCTTTTTACTGTAACAACACTTCTTTGCGGTATTTATGCTTCAAAGTGATGATCATTACAGTTCCTTACCTTTATTTCTCAATCTCTGTGTTTGAGTTGAAATGGTCACCTTGCCAGGTAAGCTGACGTTTATCAAAGTATCCCATAGACTGAAATAAATAAATATATATATATATACCAGCAGCGTTCTAAAAATAACTCCTTGACAGATTTTGTATTTCGTCGAGGCGTAACTTTCACACATATTCTAACACAGTTAAAGCAGTGGCGTATGCTGATGAAGCGGAGTGTCTTTTTGACGCGCCTGATTTCCGTGTCTGGCCGTGCCACGCGGTCTTAACGCAAAAACAACATTGGGGACGAGAAACTTTCAAGGTGCATTCAGCAGCTATGTTAGGGCATGCAGTATCGTTGTCAACCTTTGCGCAAATTGCACGTGTTAAAGAAGCGAAAAAGAAAAAAAATGTATGTATATTGACCATTTTTGATGGCAATATTTTCAGGAAAATGTTTTTTCTGGTTTTCCTGCAAGTATAAGACAGAATTTAGACTGCGCAGATTCTTAACAAAAGGGCAATTCATTTTAATTTTATACTTGACTGTTTAAATATATTGTCTGCTTTTGCAAACTATTTTCGTCTTAATAACTGTATAATTCGACCATAGAATATGTATGTACTCTGGTATTGCCACAACATACTACAATAAACAGTACTTTGAACAATGCATGTTATTTTCTATTTCCAAAACATAAGATAAACAAACAGCCACAATAACCACATTTATTCATTTGTGCTAACGTGCCAAAAATATTTAATTCAAAGCTTTTTTGCGTAATTGCATTTCATCAGCTCTCAGATGGGCACTCGTTTTCCGAAGCAAAATGGCGGAATAAGTCCTCTTCTAAAGGAGAGTAAACACTATTAGGTGTTCTGAAATACTACAAAGTCGATCAGATCGCTTTGGTATTGTTTACATTTTTTGGAGTGGGTTGGGGGGGGGGGCACTTCCCCCCCAATTGATCTTTTCATACATTTTATCTATCATGTATTTCATGAACCGGTTTTTGTCTCACTGTTGGTTCGTTGCCAAACCAAACAGACTTATATCAGAATACTAAACAAGCATTAACTTTAAATACATACATGCATTCAACCGCACTTGTTTACAACGACCTTTCACAATTATTTTCCCATAGTCAAGACAAATGGGGAAGGCATGATAAAATATTGTCAGTAAGAAAGTCAAAATACGTGTACATGACATCTTTCAATATTGGGAATTGGCATGTGTCCTTGTCCGAAAATAGTTTCATAAAATATATGTATATATCTATTAAAGAAAGCCACTTCTAGATAATTTAAGTGCACACATAACAAGCGTCTTGATAAACGAACGTTGGATCTTTATTTCACCTGAGAAACAAAAGATAAAAAGGGCACACATCAGTCACAATCAGTAGTCAAATACTGTGGGTGATCAAGCCTATGTTTTTTCTGAAACGAGTTTTTTTTAGCTTTTCTTTCACAATGATTTCCTTAAAAATTCAATAACAGAAAACCAAAGTGCTGTCCTAATATACTGGCAGGTCGCTTTAGTGTCAACCTTTTGAATAAAGTATGATGCGCTCGAAATCACTTTTCCAATGGAGTCTTTCTTTGAGCGTACTGAACAGTCAACATTTCTACAAACCATCCAGTTTGGTATATCCTGTAGTTTACTTGATCAAAAGCCATACATTTGTTTTCATAAATTATTTTTTTACTTCTATGAAAATTATTCAATTTTTCAAATAAATTTATGCAGAAAAGTACGTCTCGAACGCTTCTTGTAAACGGAGCAATAAATCTTCCAACGGGCCCATTAGACGTTTTTTGATTAATATTTTCACGTTGTAACTAATGTCATCTTCTTTTCACAACTATTTTATAAGGTTTTGGCATGGACACAATCCCACTGTCTGCTGGCTCCAGGGTAAGACTCTCGCCAGGGGGCGGCAGTATCTGGAACCGCTGTAATAACATCACCAGCTGCAAGAACATGGTCAGCCTCGTCATTGGCTCGCCGATACACGACTGGAGAAGGTGGAATGAATTCAAAACAATATCAAATACTTATATAAACACTTCAGGACAAACATTTATGATGTCTTTTAGATCAGGCGCAACAACTTCTTATTCTCAGGTGGTATTATTGTAAAAATAAAGCCTATCTGCAGCATTACCCTTGTTCCTGTGGAGAAAGGTAAAAACCCCGGTGGTTTTGGCAGGAACTTTCCGTCTGCATTCAGAAACCTCTCTGGCCTGAAGGTTTCGGGGTCCACCCAGTGTCGTTGGTCGCGATGAAGACTCCACTGGTTTATGATTATAGTGGTGCCCTTCGGAATGTCAAAACCACCTTAAAATATGGGAATTTAAGACAACATTACATTTAAAACATAAACATAGCAAGTTAGTGATTTAGCTCGTACCCTTTGGCCTCATTCAAACAAATCCTCAATGACGTGTTTATCGTTGACAATTATAATCTAATGTCACAAGATATCCAATTTTAAAGGCGTTTCTCCACACGCACACACACACACACACACACACACAAACACGCACATACACACACACACACACAAACACGCACATACACACACGATAATAAAAGAGATATATATGTAAAAATTACCCAGAGTGGAATCGCGTGTAGCTGTATGTGGGAGCCCTAGAGCAGGCATGGTACCATGACGTAGTGACTCAGAGAGAGCAGCTTCTGTATACGGCATGGAGTGGCGATGTGTTCCACAAGGTACAGCAGTACCTGTATGTATATATATTTAGAAAGAAGAAAAGTTTTTGTTGTTTGGCAGATGTTTTCATAGGTATAAAATATGTTAACACAATAAGAATATAATAGGCATAATCAGCAAACTTAAAACAATCTAATTATAAATACGTATGATCGTATGTTCAACAATGAATTTTGCAGTCGAAAATAAGACTGCCCAAATATTTCATAATTTTGATATCCAAATGAGAACCACGTTTTTCTCACCTAAAACTTCCTGTATTTCCTTGTAAATATTTTCCTGCGCCTTTTGATGGAGTGCTAGGTGGAGGATCAGCCACAACGTCTGCAGCGAAATGACATTGATGCCACCTATCGGTAAATTAGGTAGATTACAGTCAACCAAAATAGATTATCCTAAATCAGGACATTTCCCCACACTGGCTCGCTTCGACACATTGGATTTACTACTCTAGAATTAAATTTAACAAAGGGTCCAGCATTTATATTAGACTCAAACATTAATTTTCTTAAAGCAATGCCATTGGTGGAACGCCCACCTTCTAAGAGGTTGAATATTGTTTGAATAACTCTTGTGTCTGTGAACGCCTCCAAGATATCACTATCGTCTTTCTTCTTGGCTTCCCTTTGAATTTCAATGACGAGGTCCATTATATCCCTCTGATTACCTTAAATTATATTGAGGTACTGGATATGATTTTTAAAAACAAGACAGGAAAACGAGGAAAAGAAAATTGAAGACCATCTAAGCAACGTAGTCAAGACAAGGAGTATGATATTGGCTGTTGGCTTAAGAAACAGAGTAAAATGTGTGTGTCTGTGTGTGCGCGTGAACACTTAAAATGCTTTAATAAAGTGAAGAGGGTAAATATATCTACACAGTCTGATAGAATGTACTAAATATTTCTGGCCTTCGTCATTCACTAGGGCGTTCACAGTTCACCAACTTGCCTTCAACATATGTCGAGTTGTGTTGGTGCCAATGTTTTTCAATGATATTCAAGTAGCTTTGGACAGCGTGCCTTAGGTCCTTAGACGCTTTGGAAGGAATATACTTCAAAAATGGAAAGTAATCTTCAGGTAAACCACGACCGAATATATCTACGAATTGTTCAGAAGTGTTTTCCAACTCTTTGAATTCCGGGTCGTCAAACGTGTAACTATGAAAAAAATCGACAATTTTTAACAAAGGTTATACTGCCGTATGTATTGTTAGGATATATGTAAGGGTGTATGTGTGTCTTTCTGCATTTAATAAAAAAGAACAATCAAATTTGTAACTAAAAAGGCAACTGAAAAAAAGATGAAAGGCTCCCGTTCATATATGGCCTACGGGATATGAAAGATACTTAACCGTACTGAAAAGATGTAAAGAACATAAACAAATTGCTTTTTCTAATTCTGCTAATGGAATTTTTCTAATTTATTTTTATTTCTCACAAAAAATTACCAACTTACCACTTACTATAGACAAAAGCATTTTTCGCATATGATATTCCGTATGCCCTGTTTTTGAAATTATGATAGGTCAAACGTACCGCTGATTAAAGCACATTCCACATACGATATTGTAGACTCCAAGTTTTATATGCGTTGACGGGTCAAAGGCAGCATTTTCCTCCCCCATGATATCCAGCATCTGTAGGGTTCGGTCTCTAACAATTTCCTCGAGGTTTTGACCAGTTATAAAATTCCTGATCAAAATACAGAATTTATAGTAAAATAAATGCATCAACAAAATATGGGCAAATAGGCAAAACATCCAATACACATCAGCGAGAGTTGGAGTTGGGGACAACAGGCCGATGGGGTATTGACATGCATGTCATGTTAAACTGAATATTTTCACGGACCGGTGTGATATCAGATCCTGAAAAAATCAAACAGTGTAACAAATTTACCATATAATACTGGCATCTCAGACACTCCTACGACGTGTGATAATGACAGTTCAGTGGAGGGGGAGTCAGTACGAAATGGGGGAGGGGGGCAGTTATCAGATTGACAAATAGATGATTGGGGAGAGTCAGTTGGGGGGTCAGTATTTGATAATACTGACCAACATTACGCAGTGAAATAATTATTCAAATTTCATAAATAATTATTCATTAAATAAACTTTTTAAAGAAAATTAAACAGCCCTGCTAAAACTGGCCAAGGTTTTTGCATATTAAAAAATAAAAGTCACAATTGATTTTTTGCTGTGATATCGTATTTCGAATTTCGAATCAATTTTGGTAAAGGTACCAGTATTCGGGCCACCTCCTACCACTTCCGCCGTTACGTCACTCACCTGAGACAAGAGTTGGCAATCTTACGATGAAGTTTCCATGTTGGACCTGTGTTGGAAAAAGTGATGTCCTGACCACCCTCAGACGTAATAGCACCTCGAGAATAAAGACAGCAAGAAATCAAATTTGTTTGTTCGCCAGTTTTTTTCAATTGTTGAAAAATAAAGACAGGCGCGTACGTAGGAAACAAATGTAACACTAGGTGCTTGGGAGGAGGTCTATGAGAGGTGAATACAATGGAAGTTTGTAATTTTCCATGTTACTTGTAACATGCTCTTTTACTGTTGGAATACGCCTTTAACATATAAGTGATAGCCTAGAAGAATCAATCAAGAATTATTTCCAATCAGTGGACAACATCATCTCGCACTGTGCTGCATACCTGTTAACGTGTCAGGGCGATCTGCAAAATGTGCCGGTTTTTCCAACAGAGCTTCTTTCACCACATCATAACTGCTCAGAACAACAGCGTTCATGCTCCCTGCGATAATAAATACATAAAACGACATAAAACTCTGTTAAGTTCAACACCTATGAATTGCAATTGCGTTTGAAAAATATACAAACGGACGGGCGACTCTGGGTGGGAGTTTTTCAAGGGTGGGCCGACATGGACGATACATTTTCCTTCGCTCCGCTTAATTGCTAAGTACAGTCTCATTCCTCTCGGAGGAGGGGAGGAGGGGATCCTTCAGATTCAAGAGGGGGGGCACTAGGTCCACTATTGTTTCGTACCCCCATCCCTCCTGTTTGCAACTCCAAAAAGGATGAGTGGCATAAGACACTCTGGTACTCACAGAATGTTGCTCCACATATGTCACTGCTGCGGGGTGCAAGTTATGGCGAACTAGAAATTTGCTAGAGTCAATTTGCCAAACAATTTGATTAAAGAAAGCGATTGATTAGTAGGCCCTCTACAGTTTTAGATAAACAGTTTTCATCGAATGCATTTCTATACGATTTAAGATTCTGCATCTCACCTATTTGCAACCTGAAAATATCTCCGTATATCTTGCTCCATTTATGTAATAGAATGAACGTCTTTTGGTCTCTATTAAGTTCTGTAATATAAAGAGAATCACAAGGGAAATATTATTATTATATACATTTGTTCTGTTGGGGAACAGACTTTAACAAATCTAGGCATGATAATATAAAACAGCAACTTAAACATCACCAGACAGAGAGAGAGAGAGAGAGAGAGAGAGAGAGAGAGAGAGAGAGAGAGAGAGAGAGAGACCTAATATATTCCCAAGGAAAGGTAAACCTGGAGGTGCTGGAGGAAGACGCCATCTTTTTCTTCCAGATTTAAGATGAGCCACAAGGATACACAGTACCAGCACAAGTAGTCCGAGGACAGAAAACCATGTCTCCGCGACTGTAGCCATATGGGAGCGAAATGTGGAGCAGTTTTTAGAAGACTGGTACACCCGGATCACTGGCGGTCATTAAATGCATAAGTAAAGCAGCTTTTTCGCACAGCTTAAAGGTTATTTCAAAATCCACAGCGCAAGTGAGGTCCTTATTCTGTAACCCGTATGGGTTCTTCGCACGCAGCTATCATGGCACGCGTTACATAATTACTTTGCTGGCTGTTTTGCGTTGGCTTCCGTTGACCCACATACAGCATCAAACTTGCCCAGTAGATAAAGGATTATGAAGGTGAAATGTGCGGTTTTAATGTAAAGAGAGCGGCCTTTTATGAAAAACTAGCGAAACGAGTCACAACTTAGTAGATTTTTTATCCATGTGTCCCCTGTATGTTCCAGGAAAATTGCATTTGTCTACTATTTTATATTTACCACACCTTGCTTTGCAAAAAACATTATAATAATAAATATATAAGTAAATAAATAAAGAAATAATATAGCCAAAATACTGAGCCCAGTGTTGTGTTATAATAAATAAATACCACTATCAAACTATATCACAAAAAGTTGTGCAGGATATCAGCCTGCTAAACATTTAACTAAAATCAATCTTAATCGCCATTTAAATACAGCAATTTGAATGGATTTTAAAGCTTTTCTATTAAGAATTTTCAAAAGGAATCGAATTTTTCCTTAACAAAGTCATTTCACCTACTCGGGATCCATTGCTCTTCCCGACATTGGTATTCGATGTGCTATACTATTTTAATAAAACGATTTGGAACTCTGTATTTCCCAGAGTCCACCATTTGGACTGCTGTCTTCTTGTAGATTTCAGAAGGAAATTGACATCAGGTACGTCTGTTGGAGGAATTTTTTAAAGTCTTCATTCTAAATAAACATAGCTTTGTAGACATATAAGATATATCTTTGGGGAAGTTTCAAACGCGAACAGTGTACTTTTAGATATAAAGTTGGCGTTGGTCTTAAAGTGAAATATACCTAAACGTTGTAGCAAATAAATACCGTTACTTCTCACTTAAAATTCGCCTACTTTAACTTAAACACCTATTATATTGATAACGTCAATATACCTGGACAAGAGTGCCGCCGACACATTAACACCTGTTCTTAATTCGACAAATTTCCTTCATAAAGGTTTTAAAGGTCTAGCGCTATCTAACTAGGCCACTGATGTGCGTGACAGAAGAGTTGTTTGGGGACCCGCACGAAAATGCAGTAGTATCGAAGTAGCAAAGAAGCATTAACGCAGTAGTGGTGTGGAGCATATTTGCAGTAGAAATGCAGTATAGCCTACTGCAATTCTACTCCAAAAATTACATAGGGTTGTACAGAGGAGGAGCATTAATGCAGTAGATTAGCAGCATGATAGAAGCATGTTTCAAATATGCTAATTAGCTCCCCAATCGAAGCAGATTTGAAGCATGTTTGCAGTATGATTGCAGTAGTCTACTGCGCTGGAGTATCTACTTCGTTTTCGCGCGGGGAGGCAGGCTGTCATCACGTGCCCAGACTCTGGGATGGTCCATGCGACACATACACTTTAAGGGTGCTTTCCCAGAGATTTAGATCGATCTAAAGATTAAGTTTTAGATCGACCTAACTCCCTGGGGGTTCACGCTAAATTGCAGTCAGCCGAGCGGGCACCATAGTTAATTACCCCCTTACAGCTTTTAGTGGGCGGGACAGACGCTTAAGCCGGCCAAGCTGACAGTAATCTAGTGAGACTCCACACAGGGAGAGATCGATCTAAAAATCTATGGAAATGGGGTGTTAGTCAAATATTTCATTGAACCCTTTAAATCGTCTGCTTAAGCTAAAACCTTAGAAATCGTTCTCTTAAGCAGCCTGTAAGTGGCTTTCTTTGCAAACAGGGAACTAACGACTGAAGGGATACCGTCTTTTGTGCTTTTTACAGTTATAAACAAGTGAGGGACCATTCCCACAGATATTTGGATCGATCTATCTCCCTGTGCAGTTACACAAAATTGCTGTCAACTTAACCGGCTGTCTGTCATGCCTAGTAACGCTGTAAGGGGGTAATTATCTTTACCCTATAGCTGATTCGGTAGGCGTGACAGATAATTAAGCCGATTAAGTTGATAGCAATTTAATGAGACTCTCCAGGGAGGTACACCGATCCAGATGGATCGATCTAGATATTGGAACCCAGTCTTACTGTAAGTTGGATATTGATATGCGGCTACTCGTCCAACCAAAAAGATGGTATGTGTTAAAGCTTAAATATTTTAAAATGTTAATCCCATCAACACAGAAGATGCACACTTTTTACAAGCATGGCCTGCTTTGAGTTCTGTCTTCATGTTCTATCTTCGAAACTTACACAGTCGTGCTCTTTTCACTAGGATGAAGAAAGAAGCCAAACATTGAAAAAAATAGTAAAACAGTGGCGGTCTTTCAGGAAGGTGAGTGAAAATCTCAAAAATGTGCACAATATAAAGGAACTAATGGAAGTCATTAATTTCCATATGATAACGACACTAAACTACGGATACATTGATTTCTCTCTTACTTTAAAACACTGTTTTGGCAGTCGAAACAATACAGCGATGCGTGCCCTATGTTATTGTTAACAGCTAAAATTTACGCATTATGTCTGTGTAAATGCAATTTCGTTGTATAAACTCTTATCTTCTGTCATACATGTACATGTATTTATTCAGTTATGCATGGATTAATTACTATAACCTACATGTACACTTAATTTTTTNAACATTGAAAAAAATAGTAAAACAGTGGCGGTCTTTCAGGAAGGTGAGTGAAAATCTCAAAAATGTGCACAATATAAAGGAACTAATGAAAGTCATTAATTTCCATATGATAACGACACTAAACTACGGATACATTGATTTCTCTCTTACTTTAAAACACTGTTTTGGCAGTCGAAACAATACAGCGATGCGTGCCCTATGTTATTGTTAACAGCTAAAATTTACGCATTGTGTCTGTGTAAATGCAATTTCGTTGTATAAACTCTTATCTTCTGTCATACATGTACATGTATTTATTCAGTTATGCATGGATTAATTACTATAACCTACATGTACACTTAATTTTTTGGACACCGTTTTGAACATAAGATACTATATGTCTACCATAGTTACTGTGGATATTACAGATAATTTAATTACGGATAGAGAAAATAATTAGATTTGAGCTGCCTTGGCGGAGGTCTTGCGTTTTCTGAGTGATTTTCTAGTTTTCCAATCAGCAGACTGCGATTCCCTTCACTGAATATGGAAGACGAACGGCAAATTAAGTAATAGGCAGTGGTCACAGACACGCCCAAAAGTGGGACACGTGACTAATGCATAAACCAGCTAATATGTGTGACTCTTACTCAAGAAGTTTCAGTGCCTGTTCTTCTGTTGGGGCGTTGGCTATTACTCAATACAAATTGAACTCCGCCGGGTGGTTTCCGAAAAAGAATATTACCTGTCCTTCCAAAAGAGATCAGTAGTAGCTTAGACTAACCAATGGGGATCTGTTACACGATTCGATTTGTGACACCCACTTGACCATTGCCTTATATGGTAAACCACGTGCAAATCTCCGGTGCGAGTAAGTATAAATACCCCTGCTTTCATACTCATTTTGTCCATCTGTCTTTTCGGGAGACGTTCGATCCGGATCCGTTACGACCCACTTTCGTCACTGCGAGAAGATGCGCTTGTTCCTCACTCTTATGCTACTGTCTTTGGCGCTGTTGGCTGCAACAGGCAAGTTCCGCTAAATACTGCTGGTAGTATATAACTGAAAAGCAGTACCAAGGTTTTTTTTCACTGAAAGCTATAAAAACGCATCGTTAAATTGCAGGCTGAAACGGTAGTATGCTTGAAGGGGTCCCGTCACAGCTAAGTCCGTATTTTGCAAGTAAACGCTCTTGGACTGCTTTTTAATTCTGGTTAGGGACCTGTCAACGTGATTTTTATTGAGATAAGATGCAGAACAGAACTAGCATATGAAATTTTCATAGTTCCTTGAACGTTTGTTCGACAGGGCATTTGGTTTAAAATGGATGTATAACTTGACTATTTGGTGAATTGACAGCTAAATGGTTAATCGGCTATTCTTAAAACTATTCTTTTGGTTACAGATGCCTACACCAGTCCGAGGTTCATCCTAAAACATAGGTCTAGTGGGCGGTGCTATGACTACGTAAATTGGTGGAGACTTGGCCATCACTATGAGAAATTCCGAGCAGACAAGTGCGACAAAGCAGATGAACTGGTATGGGAGCAAGTGGAAGGGCACTATGGCTATCTAAAAGTGGTTGGTACGAAAGGCCATTGTCTGGGTCCTTGGGGTAGTTGGGCCAAGCCTGGCGATAACACTGCCATTTTCCCGCATAAAAACTGCTTTTCTTCTGCGCTGTTCAAAATCGACGAGGAGAACGGCTACATCAGACATGCTGGGGGAAGTTATGTCCATCCGTATCCCTTCAACAGCGAAAAACCGAACTGGCAGTCGGACCTGATTATACACAAAGGTACAAATTACAACAATAAGTTTGATTTTGTGCAGAAAAATAACCATAACGCTAAGGTCACGGTCATCCCAAAGCCCAATGTGTCCGGATCCTGGAAAAAGGTCACCTGCTGGGCGGACGTACACAAAGGTGAGCTCAAGTATTCGGTGAAAGTCGGCACCAGCAAATCCTCTTCCTCGACCACGACACACGCTTGGGAAGTCTCATTCTCAGTTGCCTTCCTAATCATTCAATCCAGCACCAAGTACAGCGGTTCGTTCTCGTCCACATACCAGGAACAATGGCACACGGAATCTACCATAGAGAGAACAATCAAAATTGACCAAGATGGCGGCACCGTGTGTATATGGCAATGGATCTACACATTTGACCAATTTCAGGATACCTTCACATTCAGATCTTTCACTCTACGCGAGACCCGCAACGAAACGGCTCCTACGCAAGTCCCCATGGGCAAAAAGTAGAAAATCCCTTTTCAACTTGTTATTGCTTGTAGGAAGTTGAATTTTCAGAATTTATTTTCTATACGGATTTTCAGCTTTCCTTTATTATTGTTATTGGAGATCTTCCAAAGGTGTGACCGTGGTGAAAATAAAGAAATTTAGACCCACTGAACTTTGTTACATTTTCTTCCCTTTTTTTACCACGTGCCTTTAATGTTTTGCTGAGGATGATACTGGAACTTACGTGTTGAAACGGAGATCTTTGAAAGCATCTGACCCGGTCTCTTGTAAATCGCCACTATTCCGCCAGGTAACAAACAACCT